TTTTAAAATTTTAATGTATATTAGCAATGGTATGAAACTTCATGTATATTTTAAATAGTGGATAGGTATTAAATAACAATAAAATATTTTTTGAAAAATATTATAAGTGAGTCAAAGGCTTCGCAACACAACAAATACAATTTGCGCTATTTTATATCAATGCTCGCATCTTTGAGTCCTCTATTCATTTTCATCTATTTGGGATAAATATTAAAGAGCCAATAAATATTTATATATGTTTTACAATTAACTCAAAAGTTGCCTTGTAATAGTTTTTTGTAGGGTATTTCGTAGTCGTTCATTTAGATGCCAGTAGTTATCGGTGCCTATTGGTACCGCCTAATAGGACTATATGTACTTAAATATATATTTTTGACACCGCTCGACAAATATGAATTTTTATTTGCAACCATTTGACTCGGTTCATTTCTATTATAATTGATTCGAGATTGTCGAAATGAGGAAATGAGATTTCGACCGGGGCTATTACCCACCCACCGGAGGGGGGTGTTGGGTGCTAGGCACTAGGGGTAATACGAAGCCCAATAAATATTGACTTTGATATGATTAATGCGACTCGTTTGGCATTCAAATTTGATATTTGTTTTAAGTGCGATTCACAATGATATTTTGACTGAGTTTTATATGTGTGTAGGTGTGTGTATATGCACATATATGTATGTGTATACTAGGCACACTCCAGGTATAACAATTAAATGTTGGGCAGGTAGCTGTGTGAATGGCATGTGACCCTGAAATGGGCTTGATTTGGTTCCTGATGCCATTTGCTGTTGTTACTTGAGTTGCTGTTGTTGTTGTTGTTGCTAGTAGGTTTCCCCAACGGCAGTTACAGTTTTACGGTTTTTCTTTTTTGTTGGGGTCGTGGAGCAGTTATGTTCGTTACTTTTTGATTGCCAACGCGCACGAAAAACTTTTGATACAACTTTGCATGTCTTTGATGAATTTGAAATTGTCACAAATGTGAAAGTTTTTCACTTGCCATCAGATACTCACACACACACACTCTCTTTCACTCACTCACTCTATCTCTGTCTCTGTCTGGCAGGATCGTCGCATTTGCATCTAACATTCGTTGACATTGAGCGCGCTGGCACGGCCTGAGCTTCACGCATTCATTCATTCATTCATTCATTTGGCTCCGGCCGATTTGCATATGGATTTTGGATTTACTTAATAAAATATTGCAATAGCTCGCTCTCACTCTCTCACACTTTCTCTCTCTCTCTCTCACTCTTTATTTGATTACAGCCAAACAAAATGAAAGGCGTGGGTGGAGCTGGCGTCGAAATGAAAACAAAAGTTCGTGCGAGTTCATCGAGTTGCCAGTCAGCCAATCAGTGGAGACAGGCGAGGTGCGTTTGAAGAGTTGTCAGCTCGGAATTACTGATAAAACTGACAAATATGATTAATTGAGTTGGGCTTATAATTATTTTTAGAATAAACACTAAAGCTTAGCATAAAATCAATTGACAGTTAGACAATCAGTTCAGACGAGGTGTGTTTGAAGAGTTGTCTTCTCAACTTCGAGTTGTACTGCTGAAACTGAGAAATATGGGAAATAGGATTAGGGTAAATATTATTTGAGAATGTGGAAAGAGAATACTATAGAATTCAATAGCATAGCGAGGTGTGTTTGAAGAGTTGTCAGATTGAAGTTGAGAATGTAAGAGAAGAAGAGCGCAACATATCATAGCGAGGTGTGTTCGAAGAGCTCTCTGGTAAAAGTTATAGCTCAAACTATAAGGACTATATTATAGAATAGCATAAAATGGAATATGGAAAATTGGGCTAATCTAAAATCGAATAAGATATTCAAAGAAGAACATAAGAAATGCCAAAGAATAAGTTATAATTAAGTAAAATATCTTAACTCTAGACAAAATTATAACTGAATATAAATATATAAGCTTATTCATCCACTAAATTAAAACGTAGAGCTAATACGTTATACTGTAAAACCAAAAAAATACAATAAAAATAAGAATTAAACAATAGAAGCGATAGGTCAGGAAGTTTGTAAAAAATCAAAAACACTTAAAAATATTCCTTTGATTTTAAATGTATTTTAAAGTTACAGCATAAAATATATTATATTATATTATATTCAAATAGCTGCAGTTTGTATATTAGGATTTGGGATATTCCTAGCCTATGATGAGCCACTCACTAACCATTGTATTGTGTGGTTAGTGGATGACTCAAATTTGATATAGAAATGGCAAACCCCATTCAATATTCCAGCTGCTAAAATTTATCGATAGCTCAAACAGTTGCTGATATTTGTTTATCGAAAAACCTAGAAAACCCTCCTTTTAGGATAGCTCTCAGACAGTCTCTTTGACATTAGCAAACTGTCTGAGCAGCCCTCGTGTGGCATGCTGCCTGCACGTGTGCGAGCCGGCGGAAATGGGGCAAACAGTTGAGTTCAGTTCAGCCGGAGTCAAGCCGAGCGAGCGACAGCCGAGCGTAGCTCGAGCATAACAACCTTTGCTGCAGCGGCGATGGCGCCGCTCTGCGCTCACGGCAGAGGTGGAGTGGGTGGTGCAGGCACTGCCCGATGGTGGGTGGGCTGGGTGGTTGGTTGGGTGGTGTGGGGTGGGCATTGGCAACGCTCCCGCTGCTATGTTGTTTGCTGGTTTGTTTGCTTGTTTGTTTGTTGGCAACATAACAAAGCGGCTTCATTCACAAATCGCAGTTAGCGCGCGGCAGGCAAACAACGTGGACGTGGAGGCATCCACAGCCACAGCTACAGCCATAGTCTGTCTCGCTCTCTCCCACACTCTGCATAACAATTGCAAATTAGCTCCAAGTGAAAGTTTACGTCAAACTCAGCTCAAGTGGCAGCCGCGCTGAGGCTCATCCGTTCCGTGACTGCAGCCGGTTTTTGGGCGCCTTTGTTGACAAAGTTATTGGCTCCGGGTCTCTGGTCTCCGGTCTTAATGGCGGCGTAATTGATTTGCATTCGATGCGAATTGATTCTCGGCTCGCGACCGTTCGAACGCCAATTGGCAATTTCAGTCGCTAATCAAACACCCAACACCGAAGTCGAGGTCGAGTCCCAATCCGAGCATTGAAGCCGCGCCATGTCCTTGTCTGTGGCTAGCCGTCGTCGCTATCAGACGACTACGTCTACGGCTGGGACAACGTCTACGGCTGCGCTGCCCGTGCGCAAGCAGCACTCGCTCATCGAGCCGCCCAGCCACGCCCACGCCCACGGCCATAGCCACGCAAACGTGGGCAGGTATTCGGCCCAGCAACGCGGCTATCTGTCGCGCGGCCTCTCCGTCAGCCGCTCCATAGAGAGCATCCGCCAGAAGCTCTACGCCCCCAGCCGGCAGGCATCCCTGGCCATTGACGATTCGACGGCGGTGCGCATTGCCGGCCGGCTGACGCCCACGCAGGCAGAGCTGGGCACTCATCTGCGCGACAAGAGCGACCTGATGGTCTGGGCATCCACGTCCTCCATGCAGAAGACCCAACAGAAGCAGGCACTGCCACAGCAGCAGCAGCAGGAAGAGACAGAAACGTAAGTGAAAGGAGGGGAAAATGATGGGATTGATACATAAGTGCCATTTAGTATAGATCTAAGATTTGGTGAAAAAATTTTATGAAGTGAGACATAGTGAAACGTCTTGGAAAATATTCCAGATACATTACAGAAATTCAAATTGAAGCTCTAAATATATATACAGGTATCCTATACTTAGATATATACCTGCATCAATCTAACTGAAATCTCATTTATTTATTCCTTATCTGTATATGGCAATACATAGTAGAATTCGGGCTTATCGACTCCGCTTATAGTGTCCGTATGGTTATGGAATACTCACATTTCTAGTAGAAAAATTGTATGTAGTAGTAGGTAGAGAATTTTAATGTCCGCTATAAAGTTATATAAATCAGGAGTAAAATTGATCTTTTTGCTGAACTTGTTTAGTGATAGAAAGCTTCAGCTTTAGTTTTGACAATGTCATAGAAGTATAGTCTGATATATA